CTGGGGCCAGTCAAAGGCGGGATGTCGAGCTTGTGGATGGGCTTGATCGGGTCGTGAGAGAGAGCCGAAGAGGCGCCCGTGGAACCCGTCTTGAAAGAGAAGGATGGACAGGTTGGCGGCGCCGGGGCTCGAGTTGTTCATGGAGGGATGAGATCTCCCTCCTCGGTGAAGGGCACGTTGGGGCCACCACGCTCCTGCTGGCGGCGGTACATGAAAGCAGCCTTGTATGCCGTCTCGTTGGCGTCGGGAGCCAGCCATGGCGGTGAAGACCTGGTTGAGGCCGGGGGGGGGCGGCCTTGAGGATGCCGGAGCGCAGGATCGAGGCCCAGTCGTGGGAGGGGGAAGTTGCCGAGGGCGGGCCCGGTTGACGATGGCCGTTGACCAATGTCGGGGGGTCTTGGCGGCCGGCGATGAGGGGCAGGGTTTTTTGTAGCCCAGGGGAATGGAGGGCGATTTTGGCGTAGACATCGAGGAGGACGTTGCCGTCGGGGTCGGCGATGTAGTTTGCCGATGCTCTTGGTGTAGTCGGTCAGCATGTTCAAGCTGCGCGTGTCAAAGACCTCATGGAGGTCCTCAATGTACTTCTTGGACACGGGCCCTGGAATCTCTGTCTTGACCGTGGGACGAGCAGGCTCCTCGGGGAACAAGGACGATGCGGCGCGGGCGAAGGAGACGGAGAAGGCTCGAGCAGGGAGTCTGGAGACAGCGGGGTTCCTCGCGGCACGAGTGGCCGGGCGCAGCAAGGACGACGCTCGCAGAGCAGCCATGATTGCTGTGTGGTTTGTTGGGTATCTATGGTAAGCAGCCGGCTGGGTACCCCGCGAGATGAATTGGCAAAGGAAAAGTTCACGAGATGAGATGAGGGGTGTTGGAAGAAGGGAGGGGGGGGGGTGGAGGAGCTTGGAGGAGCTTTATATCGGGTCACGGCGGCTTATCGCATGGACCTATTCAAGCTTTTGAGCTTTGTCTCTTGTCTCGGCGGGGGTGGCTCGATCTGGTTGGTCACTGGACAGATACTTGGCCCCTCGTCCCTTGTCAACCGACTCCGGGGTAAGATGTCTGAGGTAGGTACCTTACCTAGGTAGGTAGGTAGGTACCTATCTGAGGATAGAGCACCTGAAGCACCTGAAGCACCTGACCGACGGCCGGAAGGGCGAGCTCGTAGGGCGTGGCAGGGTCTACCAGCGCTGTCGCTGTCGCTGCCGTGGCCATCGCCACCACCACTACAACGACGCTAGTGCAAGCAGATACGGGGGGGGGGGGGCAGACGGGACCCCGCCGCTTGCGACGTCATTCGTGGCAGGCTGCATTCGCATCAGCTAATGATGGAGTAAAACGACAGAAAACAAAACAGGACCAGACGAGGACACGGCTTTTGTGAGGCCCTCGAGGGCTTTGACCGACAACCTTCCTGATTGAGGCTCGATCTCTGAGCGCCATTGAATTCGTGGCGTTGTGCTTGCTGCTGTCCTGGAGGCTGCTGTCGACGTTCGGAACCCTGAATAGATGGCTTGCCAGAACGGGCAAGGTACCCAGTCCCGGGCCTGTGTCACCCCACTGCGGAGTCGGCACCCTGCAGCCGTCACCTGCGCCCATGTTCCACCCCACCTATCAGAGCATCGGCAACACCACGAACACCGGCCCGGCCACCATCGATGCATGCCTCTTTTTGGTAGGTAACGTAATGATGTGCTCAGCTGGTACGTTAGGTACGCGATAGGAGAAGCCGAGTCACGATGCACAGTGAAACGAGTTGTCTTATCGAAAAAAAGAGGGTGAGGACGACCAAACTCAGTCTTTCCCTGCTCCCAAGAAAATGTCGCCACATCTCGCTCTACTGATGCAATGCGCAATGCTTCCACCCATGCCATGCCATGCCAAACAATGTTGGAGGAGAAAATAAGGAAACAGACCCGCCGACCCCGTCGTGAACTCTCAACTCGCCCCCGCCTCCCTCTCTGCGTGGCAGGGCCAGGAGATCATCATGTAAAGACGGAAAAGGAGAAAACGCCGTGCCCATCATAGCAATCACGAAGAGTCAATTCCACCATCACCCCCCTTCAGCCACCGTGCCTCTCCTTCTCCTCGAGCTCCCGTATGTACTTCACAAAGCTCTTCTTGTGCACCAAACCCGCGTACCGCCCGTCGCGCAGCACGCAGATGTAGCGCAGTCCGAGCTTGACGAAGCACTCGTAGACCAGGTCCATCGGCGACCGAATATCGAGCGCCACGGGCGCCGCATCGATGAACGGTGTCAAATCGGTCGGGTCCACGTCTTCCTCACCTCCTGAATCCTCAATCGAATCGCCGTGCGGCCTCGCGTGCGCCATGAGACACAGCGTGCTCTCTTCGTCCTCGAGGTTATCGAGGGCGTACTCGAGGTCCGGCGCCGGGATGAGCCCCACCAGCACGTCGTCGCGAATAATCGGCAGACCGCCGTCCAACTCGCCTGCGCGGTGCAGAATTTCCAGCTTCGTCCGGAGACTAGTGGCCGGGGACCAAGGGCGAGCTCGTCACGTTGATGACACGCTCCCGACGCACGCGGGGCACAATGTCGGCCAAATCCGACGTGAACGTGGGCTTGTGCTTGTTGTTCAGGAATGATACGAGTTCATGTTTGTCAAGAGATCCTTGCTTGTTTCAGCTCATCGTTCGAGTCATTAGGATTCTGCCTACTCACGTATATACTTTCAGGCTCGATAGCGTCCGCCGTCCACTTTGCCACGAGAATAGCCAGCGAGAACGGCAAGACATAGTCCAGACTTCCGGTGAGCTCGAACAAGATAACGGCCAAAGTTACTGACAGCCGAGTCACGCCGCACATGGTGGAACCGGCCGCGATCAAGCCGTAAGCACCGGGCTGGATGCAGGTGCCTGGCACAGTCGCTGCACAGTCGCTCCAGAGCCCAAAATGGGGGAACCGCATGACGGTCCATTGCACGATGTGGCCTACCATACGACCCATGAGACCTCCCACCACCATGGATGGGACGTAGATTCCCGCAGGTACTTTCTGGAAGCTGTTAGACAAGAGGCGGCCGGATAAAAGAAACAGACGACTTACAATGCCAAAGGTGACAGTGGTGAGCAGACCCTTGATGAGGAATGCAACGAGCAAGCTCATAAGGATGGGGGGGATCTCGCTGATTTCCGAAGGGCACAAGCCGAGGTCGTCCCGGTCGGTATCCTTGTCGTTACAAGGCGATGCAAGGTTGAGAAGGAGTTTGGCGACAGGGAGTCTCGTGAAGACGTTCCAGTAACTGAGAAGAGCGGTTGCGATGGCCACCAACAGCACTTCCAGCATCGGGTACGCCTTGATGACCTTGATGCGCCTGAAGCTCTGGGCCCAGTGTTTGGATGCTTTGATGAAGAGCGCGCCGGCGGCACCGCCCAGCATACCGACTACGACGAACGTGGCCAACTCAAAATAAGCCCAGTCGATGATGTAGCGCACCTGGAACAGGACAATCTTCTGCGTGCCGTAGGGATTCAGGAACTTGAGTGTCAGGGCAGCGACCATGCAGCAAAAGAAGGTCCTGAAGAGCGTCTTGGCTGGAAAGAAGTAGGACACTTCCTCGAGGCCAAAGAGCACACCGCCGAGGGGTGCACCAAAGGCGACAG